TATCTATCTATCTATCTATCTATCTATCTATCTATCTATCTATCTATATAAACATTTTTCTCAGTTATACATTTGTCTGTGTCTTTTGTCTTTTTTTTTCAATTTTAGGGGATTTTTAAAACCCGAGTACATAATTAGACACATACCTGAAAGTCATGAAAACCTGATGGTAAAATTGCATTTTGGAAGACCTCCATTTCTTGAAAATCATTTGTATCGTACTTCTGAGACAGACAGAGCAACTTCAGGGGATCCCCTCCTAAAGAAAACTCCAACGAGACAGACCTCACTCGACTGGAGATAATTGTGTGCATTATTTCATGCATTCAGGCCCCTCAGAGCTTGTTCAGTCTACACTCTATTTAGACAAGGATTTGAATCAGCATAATGAATGATGCACGCAGGGAATGCAGCTTTTCTAGTGCAAATATAAGACAAAAGAATATAGAATAGTTAATCAGCACAGAGATGCTATAAGTCACCTTTTAAGGGGTTTGAAAAACAAAAGTCCTCTAAAATCTTTGTAGAGGACAGAATAAACTCAAACTCAAATTTGAGGTTACCGGGGTCAGACGTCATCAAAGCTTTTAAATTTTCTAGAAGCAATCTTATGCATGATCACACTTGACAAAGAGGTGTTGCAAAGTGAATGGTGTTTTTGTAGAATCTGTGTGTTGTTTGTGGTGTAAATATCTACCTGCTTACGGAATCCCAACCAAATTATAACTTGTTAAAGAAGACATGTTATGCTTTTTAGGCTCTCTTCTGATTTTCAATACTTATAAAGCTTGTATACATGTACAAGGAGTGTACATTTGCGCATGCTTTTGTGCAAGTACAATCTGTGTATACAACAACATCCAAAAACATATATTTTCAGTGTAGATAAAATAAGATATTTAACCCTGACTCCATCGAGAAGGGTTCAAATTGGATTTTTGCCTTCTTTGTAACAAATGAACCACAGGGAAAGTGACAATTCAGAACACCAGGAATTTGAGGAGCTTGAGACTACATGCCTATAGGCCAGAAGTGCACTGACAAGTTATGTACATGGCCGACAAATTGCAGTAAACATGAGCTTCAGTCAGAATTCACCCCAGCACGCTGAGTAAACCCACCTTTGTCGAGCACCGGCCCAAAGATAGCCAGATTATCGTTGACTGTTGTGCAGTTCCAGCGTCGGCCTCTGAACTGGTGCTGGCACTCCTGTATGCCGATCTTCACTCCCTCGGCCACACTGGGCATGATCTCTACGTAGTTCCGGCAGAAACGCAGCTGCTTGGGCACGAGACCTGGTATGCTGCCACAAAGGATAGGTTGAGTACCCATAGATGAGTACTGGTGACCCACTGCTAGTGACCTGCAAGTCAAGAAGTAATCACAATGTCACTACATTTTCATAAACATTTATCCTCTCTTCCTGTCTGTCTGGGACTTCATCTGTTGATAAAACCCCACCGAGTGGGAGCTTATTTTATCTCACGGCTTGGCGTAATGTTACGTCTGAGTTGATCTGATTGTGTGTGTTTATTTGTGATATCAGATGTTACCATTAGGCATGCATCCTTCATCCCTTCAACAACCCTCTATGCAAACACCTGGCCTTTGTGTGAATTAAAATTGCAGCCCTGTTACCACACTGTTTCTGTTTAAGATGAAAGTCCACAATGCATCCAGAGGTCTTCATAGACCTTAAGCTGACAACTTGAGAAACTGCACCTTGTTATTAACTGTCCGCACACTTAACAGGCCCTCAGCTTAGGGTAATAAGAGTGCAAGCCCTCCACTGAAACTTCAGAGTGTATTAAGAATAACACACACCCCCTCCTCCTCTGCCTACCCTCCTTTTATTTGCTCTTTCAGGAAGGTGTTCTAAGATACAAGTGCAAACTTGGTTGGCTGATTACATCTGTCTGCTGTCATTCCTTTATTGATATCTCTCTGTTTTTATTTTCTGTTACCACTCAATTAGCACTTTTTGTTACAATCAATTGTTGAAATGAGGCTTTAACAGTATGCCACAGAGCTAGTTTTAAGTCCATTTTTGGCGTGCTAGGCTTGTGTGTCCATGCTTTTGCATTTCCAAATCACATTTGTACAATCCATGTGGATGCTTTAATGTTTAGGCTGTTTTATGCACTTATGAGATGTTGCTTTCCTCTTAATCAGGTAAAAACAATAAGGCCTCTCATTTGTGTCAATATCTTCCCTTAGCAAAGAGGGACTAAACAAAACGGACGCGTGCAACATTTGCCAAAGCATCCTCACTTTTGTTTCAGTGATACAAACTAGTTTATTCTTCTTGCGTACACAAACCACTGATAATAAATGTTTGATTTCCTTTAAAAGTGTCAATATCAAAATTTGGACTCTTTAACGTGACCATAGAACGACTAATTTAAATAATACCAGGGTTCCTGTTATCTTTGGAAAATTTCCTGCAGGGTGCCTAACGAATTACTTGTTAGCAATCCAATGTCATCATCCTGAAATGAGCTTGATAACAACTCCATCATGAAGACAGCTTCGGAGATGTGGAACAGTGTTTTGCAGGTTATTTAGCTCTCAATCCTCTCAGTATTTTTTTCAAGGACGAATAACTGATCACAAGATTACCAAATTCCTCACAGTTTGCCCACTGGCAATGTTTTGTTTTCTTATGACTCACACCCAAATAAGATCTCCTGTCCAAATGACCAGAAACTGACAACTCAAATGACCTTGACTATACCAAATACATTTTGAAATAGTTTACTTTCACAAACTTCCATTTTTGTGGCTATGCTTTCATGTTTTTGGTCAGGTGTCACTCAAACGTTTGTGTGCATCAGAACATGTTATTGGCTTCCACAGGGGGTCACTTGCTTAATTTCCACTGACTAGACCACTGGTTGATTATAAATGAGACATCCAGTAAGGCAGCATGCATTGACAAGTTGAAATTTACTCCAAAAGGAAATCACATTTGTCTGCTGCAACCATCAGTAAACAAGGGCACTCCTACAAATTGACCTCTGTTTGGCCCTTGTCAATCTATCTGCCCTGGAGCACATCATTCCCAGCAGAAACCTGAACATCCAAGACGGCACCAAAATCTCGGGTCACTCCTTACAACAAACAACCGACTGAGGCAGAAACTGTGGCTTCTCTGAGCTTCTGGTTATTTAAAAACATTTAGCGACTGGACATCAAAGTACATCCACTGCAAATGATGAAAATGCTGCAGATAAAAGCTCATGTTAGCTTCTTTTGTACCACAACAGAAGAACCCTGAAATTTCTGTTTGATTTGTGCTGAGAAAGAAAATCTCTTATCCTTCATCATGACTACGCCCCTGAAGGCTAATTTGCACAGATTTCTGCACAAAATCATCATGAGCCAACGTGGCTGTCTGAGAAGGGCTGAGTAATCCATTGCCACCTCTTCCTGTGTTAGGAAATGGTCTATGAAATGAGGCAGGGCATGTTCCACAAGGGATGATTTATTATTCTTTAAGGAGTTATTGCGTAAAGGAGAGTGATCTTAGAAACCAGCTCCAACAAACCATTTAGATTTAACTACTAGTATTCAATGTTTTGCATGGATTTTAGGTATCCATTGTGTGGTCTCTACTTTAATCTCTCTAATTCCTTTGAAAAAACCTATTTATCTTGTCAGACCTGCCTCACCAAAAATCTGACTTTCCTTGAAGCTAATGAAATAGGTAGATATAAAAGTTAATGCTCTCAAAAAATGTTTGACTCCAAAAACATGTATGAAATCAAATTTTTCTCCCAGTACAGACTTTTCCCCTCTAATCTAAATGTATTCAGCACATGTTTAATGCATATTTCAGCAAGCCCAAGCAGGGTGCCTTAGAATTACCACTTTACTCTTGGGCCCTGAGGCCTTGGAGCCGACTTTGACATCAAGAGAATATGTTTGGGAAAAGGAATGCGCAGCAAGCTTTCACCTCCAGGTATTTATCTTCTAAGGTGGGGTGGACTAGCGAAGGAGGTGGTGGGGTGGCGGGTGCAGCCAGGCTATGTCATGGCAGGTCGAGAAGAGACAGACATGAACCTGTCTTAGTGCAGATCTGTATCCCCACAGACTAATGTGGGAGCAGACGTAGAGCCTGATGCAGCTCTGATGACCACTTGAGAGCAAGTTCATGAGCTTATGTCAGCAGAACATCTCAGGTTGGTTTTCAAAGAATAAATAGCTCTCAGATAGATAACATAGTGTTTGCAAATGGCGGGATAATGCAGGCATACTGAGTGTAATCCGAAAGTAATCACGCTATTTGACTTGGGATGAGTTGCCATGAAACACAACAATACATCAGTCATTTTTAAAGTAGAAAAAAAGGTCAGTATTACATCAAGGTAGCAGAACAGAGAGGTGACTGCTTGTGCTATTTTTGCACTCCCCAGTTGTTTGTACTGGTGGGAGTGATGCAGCCAACCTACTCCCATTATGTTTACCTGCCACTCTGATGCTTCTGTAGTTACACCCTCAAAAATCAAACCATGAATGCACAGATTGGCCTTTGGCTTGCTGCATCCTTTCAGGCATGACAGAGTGGAAACCTACCATTCACTGAGTCATTTATAAGAGACCCCACAAAAAGACTAAAAGAAAAATGAAACTTTGAAGCATTTTCATGTGTTTGTCAATGTTAAATGTAAAGAAAATCTTGATTGAATCCAACAACAGTTAAGTTGAAATATCATAATGTATTGGGTAAGCGGTATATTGGAAAATAATAAGATACCAGAGTGATGACTGGACCTTTTTTCCCCATCTCTTGGTCCAGTGGGCCCACTATTATATCAGGATTTCCTTCCAGCTGAGCATGTAATTAGTTTCTCATCAGTCTTACCACCAGGGGAACCATTAAAGGAAGTAGGTTAGGGTCCATATCATTTCTAAGCATCCCCAAATATTAAATTATTTATCAGAAATTGGGTTTTGTTTATCACTGAAGATCTACTGTTTTCAAATAGTGGATGTATGGATGAAAAAGTAACTTTAAGAGACAAGACAGGTACTCCAAATCTTCTTGAAAATAAAGTGTGCATTTAAATTTGACTAATTTGGGTAGTGTCACTTTTGTTAGAAGACTGCCCATTCATTTTCATCCAATTCATGCACAACTAGCAGCAACTCATTTTGACTACAAAGACTTAATGTCAGTCAAACAGTTGTTTTTATAAGGTGTCAAAACTAAAGTAACAATACACATCAACTAACTCTTCAGCCTATTTGGTGTTTTAGACATTTACTGACGAGAGAACCCCAATTCTGATTGATTAATGCATAATTAAATTATACTGCTTTATGTACTGTATTGTTTCCCATGAAATTGGTGTTATATTACAATAAGTCAAGTAGACAGTATGAAAGCTTTACTTTATTACACTGTGATTGAGCATCACTAAACCCAGAGCTTCTAGGATTTAATCCTTTCACGGTGCCACATTGAACCCCCCCAAAAAACACACAGACTCAATGATGGTCGCGTGCGCGCTCACATTTACACAAAGTTTGCACCTGCTGTATTACGAAAACGGTGCATTATTTTTTCTAAATAGCCTTCCTCAAGCAGCAAATGATATTACTTCTAAATCAATCCTGAATTACACACAGAAATACCTTTTACTCAGAGCATGCAACTTAAGAAAAAAGTTTCTGGTTATATCTTCTGCATCATTAAAACTGATGATAACGTTGCCCTTTAAATCCATCCTGAGTTTAAACTTCTCACTTTAAAGTTGGATAAACTTTATCATATGCGAGCAGAACTGACCCACAACAGCTGCCAGAGAAAAAAAAAAGGAAAAAAAAACTAGAACTACAACCAGCCACACTGTCACAGAGGCGGATCGACAGATAATTCGAGAAAAACTTTCACCATTTAGCCAAGGTGGGAAATGAAAATAAAACTTACCACCAGATGGGATAGCTTGCCATGACATGCGTAACCCCACAGAGCAGCAGAAAACATCCAAGGTATATCATCCTTAAAGTTTCGCAAAACCTCTCCAGCAGAATGCCAACATGCGCGCTCATCTGCGCACACAGATCTTTGCAGAACAGCAAAGACAACAACAACAACAAAAAATATATATATAGATATATTACTGTCTTCCGACTATCGAAGGGAATCTCAATCTTTCGCGACTACTCGTGGCAGAACTCGGGAGCCAAATATCAAAAGTTCAAAGCTACTTGGATTTTAGGACCCAATCAGCAGGTATTGCCAAAGGGGGAATTCTGATGATATGTTCCTCTCTGTTGCCTTGTCAGTCAGCGCCAACTCACACATGAGAACAACCTAATTTTAAGATGTGTTTTAGTGCTCATTCAGAATTGGTCGCATTAGCATGCAGTGTGTGTGATATATAATGTTGTTTAAAGGAGAGAGGGAGGGTCCTTGGGATTTTAAATAGACATCGGAACCCCTGTGGATTGCGTAGCTATAACAACCTGTCCGGATTTCGCTCCCTGGCTTGAAGCTTCTAAAATGCAGAAATAAATATGTGTGAATTGCTTGGGACCATTATTAGGGTCTGCAGCCTTTTATTTGTGCCTGTTCGTCATAAACGTAAAAGGCAAGCTCCTCTTGACAACTTAAGGATTGGCCAAGAAATCCTTGCTGGTATTTTCCCTTGGACTACTAATTATTTTATAGAAAATTAAGTGTAAAGACACTGAACTTTAAGTTATACGCCATTAATCTCTGACGCGAAAGACAATGTTATTTTAACCTAACTTGAATCAGACGCACCCTGAGGTACTGAGCAGAACACTATCTGTGTCTTCCTCATAGCTTTGACTCTTGCGTCAAAGTAGGACGTGTGATCAGCTGTTCAACAGCTTTTCCCAGCAAAAATATCTGATGAAATTGGCAGTGGCACTGAATTTTAACGGCCGAGGTCCGTTTCCTCCTTTAAGTGCCTGATGTCTAATCTAATGGGAGGTGAGACAGCCTCTCATTTAGGCTAAAGATGCTTATCTTCAAGTGTACAAAATATGTGCGACATCAGTGACTAATTAAGGTCTATAAACTTAATAAATATACGGATAAATTAACGTAGTCAGTGATTGATTAATCCAATAAACTGATGCTTATGATAATGATCATTCAGACTGACAATGTTTGAACTGTGAGGGAACAAGGAAACAAGCTGGGTGAATTTATGAGTAGGCACATTAAGTTTTTCTTATATGTTCAAGGCCATCAGCAGGAATATTTAGCACTAGAACAAGTGTTTACAGATGTAATTAAACTCCCTCAATTATACATCTCTAACTTAAGTAAATAATGCTGTGCTGCTAAAGCTCAATTATCTGTGAAAAGTGTTCAAGCTTCTCGAGCAAATGGAGACGTTCCTCACAATATAATTATGCAGTGTTTTACATTCTCCACTTTTCCTCAAAAGTGAAGCAGAATAATTGCCCGTTTTTTTTTTTTTTGTAATTGTCTTAAATTTCAAATGAAGACTGATGTGATTCACTGGGATGACCCGTCTCGTGGAGAAGGAGACCTCAGTATTTTGGGGACCCACACGTCCCCAAAAAATCTCCAAAACCGGTGGGAAGATAAGAAGTGAGCGCCATCTACTGGATAGCTTGACCATCACTAAAACAAAACAGACAAAAAAAAAGATGATATCAGTGATGATACTGAAATGTAATGAGCGTATGCTTTGGCTCATCATAGTACTGATATTTCTGATGGTCTTTACTTGTTTGATTGGACATAACTCGAAACATATCTATTATCAATGTCAAGTATGTTAAAATGAACATTTAACAACAAAACTTTCAGGATAACAGTTACTGCTATTGGGAGTTGACCGGATATTTGGTTATGACTGAAAGTGCACAACCATTCATAATGATAGAACTTTTCACCTTCATGCACACATTTGCTCAGTTGTCTTTTAATGACCAAAATTCTATAGAGTTTGGGTGATATGTGCAAAAAAGTGCAGAAGGGAGTCTGTTCTCTTCCCCAGTAGCTGTCAGCAGTGGTGCAGAGGCTAGGTCGGAAAAAAATAATTAATTTGAGTAATTTCCCCTGACTTATCTAAGAAAAAAACCACCGCAGAGTGCCAATCACGTAGTTCCACATGTCCTGTACATGTGGTCATTTTGGCAAACTGAGTCAAAGAATCAACAGGTTTTCAGAAAGAATCATTTCAATAACAAACTGTAAATGTGCTTCCTCACCTCCTTCCCTGCAGCCCATTCATTCAGCCCCCCCCCCCCCCCTTCTGAGCAAACAGACCGACATCAGTACTCCACTGTGTGCTCAAGCTGACCTCACCGTGATGGTGATGTCATTCAGTTAAAGTCAAGTCATGCACAACAAGTGCGTCTTGTCAATGCCCTGCATCACAGGCCTCAGTGTCACTCCCTCACTTTGACATAAAACAGCCACAATAACATCATGCACAACAAAAACATGGAACTAATCAGCTTTTCATGACTTCACTCAGTCCTCTATGAATATTTTCCTGATGTGCCACAAAAACTGTTAATGCTCCTCTTGGTTATTGAAATAGCTACACATTGTTCAAAACAGAAAATCCAAGAAAAGGTAAACCGAAAGGTATGAAAATGGAAGGTTTTTGTCGTGTATAAATGTGACGACACCACTAGATGTCAGCATTGCATAGTGGGATTGTCATCTGATCAGCTGTGACAGATAAACTTATAGCAGGAAAGAGAAGGAACTCAAACGAATGGAAACATACATCAACCATTCTTTGTGTTATTTGGACGTTATCTAATACTTGTTAGAAAGGCAAGTAAACACTTCACCCACTAAAGATGTGACCTTTTCCTGTGAAGACAAAGATCAGGACATTAATTTCAAGCACATTGAAAATAAACGGAAACTTTTTAACTGAACTTGAAAGAAATATTTCATCTCTTATCTAGACCAAATAGCACATATTTGACAGACTTTTGGATAATAGTCATCAATGTTTAAAAAGATATAGCAGCTAAGCACTGATTTGCCCTCGTATGTGCTGTGTTGAGGCCTCAAACGCACATTTCAACAACAACAACAAATACGTTTATACAGTACTAAGTTCTGCAATATCTTTTAAGGCTCATCCCTTTCTTTTGCAGCCATGCTACTACATCAGCTTCCAGTCATGGGAAACGAAGCAACGGCTCCTCCTTTGCTCGGGCTTTATCTTCAGGATGGGCATTACCACAGGCGTTGACATCCCTATCATGCCTGCTTGCCTCTTGCTAATACAGGGTGTAAAAAGGTTTTTGATAAGGGGAGCATTAGAAAGCACTTTCAAATCATGATGTCCTGGAAGTGAATGATGTCATATTGTTGCTGGGGGGGGGGGGGGGGGGGGGGGTCAGGCAGATTATGTGGTCAAATGTAGCAGTTCACTTGATCATTACAGAACATCGTCACTCACCAGCTCTCTGCCATGAGTATGCAATATTCTGGAACATGTTTTTGTCAGAGTTAAGCTAAAAGACAAAAACAGTCTTTTTAAATTAGAATGAGAATCAAATATCAGCTTGGAAAGTTGTAAACTTGCATAGGTTTCCTGGTACTTGACAACAATTACTATCTAGAAAAAATGGCATAGTTATTCCTACAATGCAAAACAGTTTTTTGTTTTTGATTGCATACTTTCCAGACAAGATGAATCTGTATTTCCTGCAGACATCTTTCTTTCCATGCTTCCGGCATAGTCTGGCAGTATCAGTGAGTTGTTGTTCATTGCATGTTTTCCTAATCACATCCTGTTGGGAGCTGTGACCAATAGTTCAATGATCTTTTAATCGGATGAGGACATTTTACTTTAAAAGTTCTAACAGGTTTCCGGGTGTGTTTTGGTAAATTAAAAAAAGTTTCAAGTGGGGAAGGGGTCCCGGATAGCCGCTCTGGAATAAAGGCCTGATTAGCAGAGTGCTGAACTTGCCACAACCAGGCCACTATGTTCTTGTTTACCATGGCTATCATTGTCTAATCACAGACCGTCATAGAAAAAAACTATTCACTTCAGCGGGGCAGCTGATTTTTTCTGCACGTAAATGTTCTTTCAATTTGAGGCTTTGGACATACAGAGGATATTTTCCTGTATCTTTCATCAGATATATGACTTGGTCAAATCCTGTCAGATTTCTGTGGATAATTCTCTTACCAAAATGGCCTCACATAGACGGGTGCGTCCTTCTGCATCACACCCACTAAACACAGATGGTCAAAAGTGGATTCCAGAAAAGAAGACATCTGTCAGAAGATGGTGAAATGTGTCCAAGATTGTGTTGTACTAACACATCAGTACAACATCGTGGCACTGTGGAGGCCAGCACAGCTTTAATTACAACAATAAGTCTAAATTTTATGCGACTGCAGTGTTTTTTCTCCAATCGCTGAAACAATCGACCCAGTCTTAAACTTCTCCTCAATTCCAGCATTGAATAGACAAGAGAAAAATTGAAGAGGGGAGGTCATCCCAGGTTGCCATGAGCAGAAAGAGAAGCTGCGCTGGCTAGAAATGCTCAGCTGGACTCTGTCTTGTTTCGTTAATGCAACATAAAGCAGATCACACCATCTCACCTGCTGATCTAGACCACAACACATTCACTATACATACAGCATATTGTCTGCTTGCAACCTGTTCTTTCCTGGCACAGACCGCCAACATGTCACAACTTCTGCGGTTGAGACTGTGTTGTGTCATTCTAGATGCTTTCTCCAGTGGAATGAAATGGATGAATGACTGTGTTTGTTCAAGTGCAAACAGAAAACTGAAATTCTGTAAAACATCACCATTGCTGGGGTGTTCCACAGGTTGTCAGGAAACCATGGCACAATTGTATCCATCCACTGCAGCAATAAATACCTCATAGGCAGTGGTTTGATATTAATATCGTTATTTACATAAATGTATTTTCAAGATGTGCTTGAGTGAGCAAAATTGTAATTTAACCATGAGTTCTGTTCATGAAATAAACCGAAAGGTGCTTTCGTAAAAGTGACCCATTTTATATTATACTACATTTAAGGAGATTTTGTTTATCACAAAAACCTGCATTAACTGGATTTTTGCGTGTGCTCCTTCTACACAGCAGCAACATTAGCTTAGATGTGCCTACTCAAACATTTCAGCCATGGACAAGCCACCACATGCTCACACACAAAGTGTCATAACACTTCACTTGAAAATGTGGATGGCTGATGGGGTATCTGCCACAAATAAAGCACCAGTATTTATTTTATTTCAAGGC